AATGGTGTCACAATTGAAGGTTGAGGATCTATATGCATAGCTGAATGAGAGGAATTGTTAAGGTTAGTATTAGAATTGGATTGGTTCTGAGAGTTAGTAAATGCAGCATAGGTTTTTCTTGGGTTAGGACGTGTTTTTATGGTACTAGAGTAAGTGATTACTATTACTCAGGACGTATTAGCGTTTCTTAAGATATTCTTCAGCAGGTATCAACAAAGGTGGCCAATTCGACTTTCATATTGCTGGTGAATTGTAAGTCAGCCTACTGTGCGTAATTGACACGAACGTTACGGAGCTATATTAACATGACTTTCATCATCTAGTTACGCTGGTCATTACATTCCAGCTATCGCATCTGAAATCCTCACCATTTCCACTATCCTGGCATATGTTGATGCAAGTTGCAATATGACTTGTCAATTCATCGCACTCTCCAGTGCTCGACGAAGGCACTTGTGATACAATGAGATCAGCGTATCCCACATGTGATCGACTCATTAACAAATATTACAAATCACAGAGCGTGTCTAATTGTGTACTAGCTCAAACTTACTGCGATAAGTGATTATGTTAGGGAAAGGGTAAACTGGACCTACGTCATCCTAACCTTCATTCTATTTGAATCGGTCGGGAAGAAGTTAAGCTCAAACTTGGCGTTAAGTCCGTATTCATCATGGAGACTGCAGCTTTGATGTTGCCGGCAGATTCAGGATGACTGGTGATGAGCCAGTATGTATTCGAATTTAATATGCCACTTTATGACATAACAACAACTAATTCGTTATTTTTCTGTTCGTTGTTGGGATGGGTTCATATCACAAGCTAGTTTCCATATTAATAAAGCGGGTATTCATGTCCTCATTCATGCGACGCCGACTATATGCAATTGTAAAGACGATCGAATGGTCTGGTACAAGCGCATTCAATGCTGCCAAGGATAATGGATTACCGAAGGCGTATCCAGGACATGGGCTGGCAATGTCAGAAATTCATTTGGCTTAGGGTCTTCAAAGCTGGTCATGCGGTATCTCAACAGTTAGGCTTCTTTAACTGTTGGATCAAAATAGAAAGATGTGAGGCATAACCTATATACGCCTGTACTGATATATTTACAGTCGATGGATTGCAAATAAATGCATATTTGATGTCGTTAAAAATCATTACGACCGCAATTGACTTAATTTACTGTTCTCTTCAATATCATTCGCATAAATATGCTATCGTTACAGCTGCTTTAATCCCTCCAACGCTTCCATTTTCCAATGGTACTCTGGTATAGATTACTCTCCTCGGATTTTGTACATTAACGTTATTATCATTTCGATAAATGGTGCATAAACCCTCTCTTTCTTCTACATCACTCACATCACTTTGTCCAGCAGTTCGAGCGATAGAATATCCCCCACGACGAATGCTGCTGAAATCACTAACAACTACGCCGAGATACTCTTCGATAGTAATGTTCATTACCGGCTCTGGTGTGATTATCACAGATTCTTGAATCATTTATCACATTAGGATTCGTTGTTACAGACTCATATCGATAGCCCTTGTGAGATCCAATTGGTTTTTACTATCAACATTTTCAACTTCGCCTCTGGTTAAATTCGAAATATACGTAAGTATATAAACCTTATTTAAAAAAAAATGACTGTTAAAGTGAATAATTACGTTTTCATCCGGATTATATTATCTACGTTCAATAAAAGTTCCTCCCAAGATAATTTATACCCGACTTCTGTATGCATACTTGCGTCTGGAAACATTTCAAGCTATCAATTATAGATATAGTATGAGTCTGTCTACGTGTATAATTGCACAGTAAATAATTATTATTCGCTTTGAAACTTCTGGCAAAGAACCTTAATACACATGATGTGGACCAAACGCGCATGTTTACAGACAGTAGCTGTTTGTCAGTCTTAATACGCGTTGCTAGGGCGCGCGGAAAAGAGCTGACGCAGATTCAAATTAAAGCAGAGAGCTAAGTTGTTGCTAACATCGAAAGCACTAGAGGTAAATGTCATGCCGATAAGACGGTATAAGTCATCGATGTCAATAGTGTCCTTGCTAAAATGAAAGTGGCCACTTCAAATCTTAGTAGAATAAAATTGAGCTTCAAATCGTACCATGCACTTAGGCCCTCCCGGAAAATTGATCTGTTCACTTTTTCCAAGCATTGTCTCCTATTATATATTCCATCTGAATTGCGCGCAATCAAATCAATTAACGTTAAATGAACCGGCATTAATATCAGTCAAATTTTTATCGAGAATTTCGAAAATAAGCTGGCCCATTGCATTGTGTACTGGGATGCAATGTACTGTACTCCAAAATCCAACGTTTTTTGACTGTTTAAATTGGAAACTGTCAACATAAACATAGATTTAAAAGTATGGAAATGCGTGAGAGAACATTTGCTCTACCTGCTCTAAGAATATGACTGATGTATTGCATTGTTAATCCATGAATAAGAATTAAACATTTGTCAGTTCCGTTAGCATTGACCAAGCATGGACCGAATTCATAGTAGAATAATCCAAATGGTGCTGCATCCAAGACCATAATTCACCTGATAGTGTATACGTATATTGTAAGGTCAAAGATAATCGGGCTTTCATGGTCAGCTTGATTGGAAGTAACAACATATCCAAAGAGTAATTGGATCAGTTGAGGGGGTTGTTCCTCGACTCAAAGAACCAAAAGAAGATGTTTTTATTACTGCCGACATCAAGATAACCGTTGTACTAAAACGGTAAGAGTGAGAGTAACGAGCAAAGCTGGCAGTAAAGCCGTCAATCGGATATAATGGTCAGGAAAATCGTCATGTGTCAGTATCTCAAAGTCATCCAGCCGTTCTTGCAGACGATGCTGGTCGACGAATTCTGTGTTACTGAAAACAAAAGCCGAATGGAGCATAAGAGAATCGGACAACGTATAGACACTATTTTTTACGGTGACAAGACGACAGCGAAAACGGAATTAACTGGCAGAACAACAACTCTACCTCGACTCATTTTTATTGACGAGGCAGCATGGTGCGCCATGAAGAGAACATTCCTTTGTGCGCGTAATTGCCATATCACATACCATTGTTTTAATGAAGATATCATTTGGGACCGGTTAACGCTTACAGAAATTTCCTTACATTCGGACGTTTCCGTCAAATAGATCCCAGGACAACACGGATATTCTCTCCATCATCACCTTATTCGGCGTGTCGACTTCCTGGAGGCCTCGAATTCCGCCTGTCGTTTCTGATTCTCGAAAAGATTCATTTCGCTTTTGAATCAATTCTGGATTGTCGCCGTTCAACTTCATAAATGTACCACCAAAGACTGCTGCAATTACTAGATGCGTTCATGGTTGTGGAATTATATTGGTGCATGCGGAATAAGCAAAAAAATTAATGCTGAATATCAATACTGTCGAGCAATCTGCATCTTGTGGCACCAACACGACTGTCAAAAAACCGTGACCGCGCCACATTCCGGCACTATCTGCCAATAAATGATGTTAACAACGTTTGACTGCACCTTTACTGCCAGCTACTATATGCTCATTACTATTATTTTACCTTTTTGTACAATGGTATCTTAGTGCACAGTAATAAACGTTTCTTCCATCACTGCAATCCAGCGAATCCGCATTGATTTTACTCTTTTCTTGTGAAAGCGGGAGTGGGGTCACAGCGCGAGCACGGAAACATTGATCGATTTTCAACCTTCGTCATCGTCCTAATTATAATATTAAATTGTAATTCATTAACAACAAACGCAAATTAATAGTTCTAGTTAAAAAAAGCTACGCGTCGTTACCTCTTTCTGATTACTCCTCTTTGGCGCAAGCTTTACATCGAACACCCCTCCACTCAT